AACGTTGGTGTTAGAATAAATTATTGGCGAGTCACCAAACTGGGTTCTGGTTCTCGCGTCCGTTCGTACTAAGCGTTTCTGAGAAGCTTCGAGGAACAGCGTGAGTCCCAGCGTGGCAAGAGCTGGGCGTTAAAGGTTTACGCACCTACCACGGGGGTTCGAACCCAGGACCTGACCGGTGTCAACTCATGATGAATTCCTCTAACCAATCAATCAAATCCCTACAACCCAATACTTGAATGAATGTTTGTTTATTTGTTTTATTTAAGTATTATTTTAATTAGAAATGCTGGACACCTTGAACATTAAGGAAAAGGTTATGTGTTCAATTGACATAGAATCTTTATTCACCAATGTTCCCCTTCATGAAACTGTTGATTTTATTTGCGATTACATCACAAGCAATGGCATAAACTTACCCATTCCCGTCACTTACATCAAAGACATAATCTTAATGTGTACAGAAAATATTGGATTCACATTCCAAGAAAAGGCATATAAACAAATCGATGGTGTTGCGATGGGGAGCCCTCTGGGGCCCCTGTTAGCAGATATATTTATGTCGAAATTAGAGAAACAAATGCAAGGTATGCTTGGAGGATTTATGCTGTATAAACGTTATGTTGATGATACTCTTATTATTGGTAATAATAGTGAATCTATTGAAAACTTCATTACTCTATTTAATCATATTCATCCAAATATTCGAGTGACTTCCGAACTAGAATCGAATAACAAACTTGGTTTCCTGGATATTACTATGACTAGGAGAAATGATGGTACGATTCAGCGCTCTATTTTTCGTAAACAAACATGGACTGGACAATATCTTCATTTTACCAGTTTTGTTCCTATCCAGTATAAACGTTCCCTAGTGAAATGTTTGTTCTCAAGGGCCCGAAAAATATGCACGAGTGACACACTGATGGATGAGCTTCGACATGTACATTCAGTTTTATTAGCTAATGGTTATCCGGAGAGCTTTATCACTTGTCACAGCAAAGAAAAACCACATCTCGAAAAGACAGCTTCTGTACCAAAGAAAGCCATCTTTATTAATCTACCATTCAAGGGCGACCAGATTATGCAGTTGACAACTCAAAGACTTCGATCAGCCATCAAACGCACATTCTACGCCGCATCTCTTTTTCTCACTTGCCGAACATTTTCGATCCCTGTTCCTACAATTAAAGGACGAAATTCTGTGGACTCTACTTCAAACTGTATCTACAAGTTCACCTGCAGCTGCGGTGACACCTATATAGGTAGAACTAACAGAATGTTCCAATGTCGTCGAAAAGAACATATTCCAAAATGGCTAGTAAACCATATCGAAAATCCCAACGCGATTAATCTTAATAGAAATCCAGCATCATCCATTGCAAAACACTTATTAATGTCTGGTCACAAAATAAATATTAATGACTGTTTCACAATTATTTCACATAACTCTAATTCAAGGTTATTGAAGGTGATGGAAGCACTTTGGATTAATCACATACAGCCTAAACTGTGTGTACAAAAATCAATAGACTTCAATCTTCGCCTACCCTGGACTGCATGACCTATCTTAATATGATTGGTCATTAGTATGTACTTTTGTTTTTATTTAACTGAGTAAATTTCATGAACTTTATTTTATCATTGTTAACCATGTTAGTTGTAAAGCGGTTGTAAAGAAACTACGAAATGATATCATCTCGCGAAATTTGTCTTCTTAATGCCTTGTTCAACTTTACTATAAGCTTCTAAACCACTTAGTTTTTACCTCTAACAATGGCATTCGACTTTCAGATGACAGTGGCTACAAACTAAGACACACTAAGGGTACGGTAGCTATCGAACAATGTAAAACAGCTACCAGGGAAAAGTTTTACTTGATTAGGTATGCACAGATATGGAATAAACTATCAATGGAAATGCGTCAAGCAGGTACATTGGCCTCATTCAAAAAAGTGCTTAACGACAAACTACAAGAGTTTGCAAACGATAGTAGTCCTAGTTCCTATCTGAGAGCCTCCGAAATTATAGGTCCATTTAATGCATAAGCTTAAATACTACACCTGTTGTTTTTTGCCTATATTTATAATTTTAGATAAACATTAATGATTAAGATACTTACCCTCAAATAGACAAAAAAATTTCGTTTGTAAAACTTCTACCCAACACAATAAGTGGAATAAAACGGACATGAACCGACAACATGAAAAAGATATAACTCACCACAACATCACATGGACAGATGTACGCTCGTCGGGTATCATATATACCTCACCAACTACAACCCAACTTTCCTAAGATAATGTGATGAACTTATATTCGTAATGTTGCTGAGCAGTTAATATCCACAACTCCTGTCGGAGCAACTAAAATTCAGAAACCCTCCTCATGAGAAGTAAATACCCACAAGCAGTAGAAATCCATTAATTAATGCGTCCAAAGCTTATGTATTTTGCTCCCAACAATGACATTGCAGATCAAATGAGATAAGCAAATCACTGATTTCCAAATAACACAACAATGAACTATAATTCAAGAATTCTGTGCACAACAAAATTATGTATGAAAACTGACTTCGAGCTTTATTTTTTTCCCAGGCACTTATAACCCATCCACCAAAGACCTGGTTTTTTGTTAATGCGAAGACAATACTTCTGTATTTCCTGATGTGTTGCACTCACTGACAATCTAGCGGATTTTTCCAACCATGCACAGAAATGATTGTACATAAGTGAAAAGGATGTTTTATACTATTGGGATTAACATTTATCAAGTGTATGTATAATCTCCAGTGTACATGTAAAACATATTTTGCTATCGACTGTAAATTGTGACTGAATAATATGGTCCTATTTCTGTAACAATTTGATGATGCCTGTAAACTGGCGTCCCTCATGTACTGCATCATGAGAATAAATTTATTTATTTTATTTATTTATTTATCAGGCCATCTGTTCTGAAATAGTGCGCTGGAGCTCTCTGTAGACCCCTGTGCGACTTGTTCGAACACTCAGTGGATTCGGGGACACTGCCAAGGGAGTGGAAAAGAGCCATCCTTTTTCCAATCTTCAAAGGTGGGGACAGGCAAAATGCCACTAGTTATAGACAAGTAGCTCTATTCCCAGTGGTATCAAAAGTACTGGAAAGTATTATTGACGACCACATCGGGGAATATTTCGATAGGTCTAATATACTACACGAAGCCCAACATGGATTCAGAAAAGGCAGATCCTGCGTTACTAACCTACTGTCAGCTTGGGACGACTGGACGTCATGCTGGGATATGAATGTATCAGCCCATGTGGTCTACCTAGACCTTGAGAAGGCATTTGACACTGTTCACCATGACCTTCTCCTACATAAAATAAGCCAGGCAGGTATAGGTGAGCCACTTCTGTCATGGTTAAAGGACTACCTAGCCGACAGGCAATTTCGCACTAAGGTTAACCGAGTCCGATCATCTTGGCTCAGATTGTCATCAGGAGTGTCGAAGGGTTCTATCCTAGGACCACTGATGTTTTTGATTTTTATCAATGATCTACCACACCGTCTAAGCTGCCCGACTCTCCTATACGCTGACGACGTAAAGATATCGAGGGCGATAAAGTGTCCGGAGGATTCAAATAGGCTGCAGGAAGATCTAAACCTTCTGGAAGACTGGGCGGTGGCCAGTGGCATGGCTTTCAACCTGAAAACGTGCAAAGTAGTGAAGTTACGCACCTGTAGACTTCAGAATGCAAGTTACACCCTGTGCAATGAAAGCTTGTCCTGCATAAATTCGGAACTTTACTTAGGTCTAGTTCTAACGGATAAAATGGACACAAGTGTAAATTACACGGGGGATGTAGCGAGGGCATACGCTGTCATACACTTTACACATAGAAAGTTAGGTGCACTCACTCCTGAGCTCTTTCTAATGTTGTACAAAACATACGTCAGGCCACACCTTGAGGTGCATAATATTATTGCACCCCCAATGCTGAGAAGAGGCGCCGACCTCTTGGAAAGATTCCAACGACGGGCAACAAAAGGAGTGGCTGGTTTCTGAAACAAAACGTATGATGAAAGGCTGAAGAAATTGGGCCTGTTCAGACTTACCTACCGTCGGCTTAGGAGTGATTTGATTACTGCCTACAAAATAACAAATGACCAGAATCGCCCAAACAAAGGTGTTCTGCCATTGGGTAGGTATAGACTCCCACGTGGATATCCCAGAAGGATAGCTCACCAGAGGGCAAGGACCCGGCTGCGCTCCCACTTCTTTTCACTGCGGGTTTGTCGTCCCTGGAATTCCTTACCGGCAGATATAGCTATGACACCGTCTTTGGACGCCTTTAAGCGAAGGCTGGACAACCATGCGGCGACACAAGGACTGCATCCAAATGGCCTATCCCCTTAAAATCGCACACACCATTCAGGGGTAGACAATTAAACTTGTCGTTTTACTTTTTTACATTCTCTCCCGTCTTAGTCTCCTGACAACTTATTAATATTATAATTACTATTATTACTATTATTATTACCGATACATATATTATTCTTCAAACTTAATGAGCTGACTGTCGTTACGTTTCCTATTTCCGTTCCTGTCTCTTAGTCTGAACAACTTCACTAATTATATCTATTATAAGCATTATTATTATTACTATCTCTTTCCTCCTGTTGACGATACCGAATGACTAACTTGCGAAAGGATCAACTCCAATCACAGTAGTAACAGTCTTAACACACCCCATACTACAAACCACATATAATTAATCCCAGCACTACTCCCTTTGGAGTTAACCAAAGCTACGACAGTCAAGTGGCGGGACAAGCTACTCAGAAGTTTACCGAAGATCAGGAACCTATACCTTACAATCAAGAAGCGAGCACAAAGAAGTCAAATTGGTTAATACTAGCTCGTAAAAACGATATTCGATATTGGATACAACCCAAACAATCTACTTCAGTTGAAGTCACTAGGTAAGTCTTACATCATCAGAAATAGAGAGGTGATGATGAAGTATGGGCATACTTTGGACTATTGTTTTTGGTTTTGATTTAGACATAAGATGTATCAAACAACTCGTTGGATCGGCGGGATGCATTAATGTTGCGCTACACCTATGTTTCAGGACAATAATTCTTCGCCGCTTATATGTCTATCAAAAATTGCTCTTGGTAACATACCTTCCGGATGGAAATTAAAACCTCAACTCAATGAGTGTTTTAAGTTATTTTCAAATATCTTGCCTTTCTCATCTCCACTGGAGTTGGAGTATTTTTTCCAATTTAATCACTTCGAAAATAAAAATGAAGTTAGAACTGTCTATGGGACGTTCACTCAATATGAGATATCTAGGAAATTAAAGCAGCTCGTTTTTCAGAAGGATTTATCGCTCAGTAACCTATGTTTGCTGTCACTAACAGAAAACCCTCCACCTAACTTCACAGTCAACTCTCTACTTGGGCTGCCAGAAAAGTTATTTCGACAGTATATAATTATGGTATTTGTCCCTTTCTTATAATTTTTACTCTAAGAATTTTTGTATATATTGGTTCCCAATGTCACACTTACTCTATCACCGGATAGTTCCTGTTGAGGTGAACTCGGAGGCATTTCAGACTGTTTTCAACTTCTTGGCGGATCCTCACATTTTCAACAAAATGTATGACACGTGCAGGTTTGTATAGCATTCCCACCGATGATTATTCTTTAGAGATGTACAGATATTTATTTCTTCTTGGATGCAACATGCTCATTTTTATGGTGTTAGTGGCGTAAACACAGAAGGTATGTTTTGATGACTGTTTTCATCTTCTGCCCTACTCAGTAAAACTTGATGTTATTTCATTACCATGGCACCAAAATCATAGGATTGCATTCATCGGTTATTACTTTTCAAGGAGAATATTTGTCAATAGCGACTACTTTGAGATAAAACTATCAATTGAATAGTAACAAAGCTAAGCAGTCATTCAGATTTTGTAATGAAGATACTCCACGATTAAAATTTGACCGAGGAAAAATTAGGCTCCGGGTATTTAATGGTTGTATCGCAGTAGGAGGAAAAAAGCTAGTGGCTACCAGATTCTTATGTTTTGCACCGATTAAGTCTACGACTGCAAGTCTGAAGAATGTTGGCTTCTTGTTAAGTATTTGCAAAAAGACGGTAATCAGTACTACTATGCTACTGATGTAGCCCGGAACCATTCGCCAAAGCTTATGAATGTTTTTAGTTGCATATTTCCACTCCAGTTGATTCAGTCTTTCGAGAAAGATGATGGTCTAAACTGTCTGTTTCCCAACTAGGCTTGCTCTGTTTTATCTGTCTTTTGTTCTTTCCTAGGTTTATTTGATGTTGTACACTTACATTATTAACTGAGAAATGTTTCTAGCCCAATTTGTTTGTTCATAATACTATATCAGTTTAATAAGATGTGTGAAATAAATTCATCTAATTTAGAATTACAGTCTACCACAATGTTCAATTTCTGTTCTGTTTGTGACCATTACTTTGAAGTTATGGGTCACCGAGTTACGAGATATCGTAGTAATCTTAGGTTGAGTGTGTTCGATATGTATTCCAGAAATTAGAAAAGCAGCCGGTTTGCAGTTTCGATCCTCTACAGAGTATTTAATATATGATGTTAAGTAAAATATCTGTAGTGCGCTTTTTCTAGTTAAATTTGTTGAGACTAGCTTCCTCCAACGGAATATTTATTGAGGCTGAAGTTGAAGTGTTCAATAGTTTTGAAATATCAGTTTTAGGAGGAACGGCGTCATATTCGTCTATTCATTAAATAACCTGTTTACTGTGTACCAGTTCTGTGCGTCCTACTTTCGCGACTGTGAGACATGGCTGTCGGGAAAAGATTTGAAGTGTTTAGTGTTGCTTCAGCTAAATCCCTCATTTTATTGGAAGGAATATTTTGTGGTAAGTAATTAATGCATATTCGAGGACTTCCTTGTTTCACTAGGTGAACCTATTCGGTTCTCACTTAGCACGTGGTGTGTCTGTTAGCTGGTTAGTGTCCTCATATGATTTATAAATACTTATTTATCTTTTCCAGGTTGGAAGTTGAATCGCAGATCCAAACATTCTAGTATAGAGGCCAAATTAATTTAAATTTTATGGGATCATGGAATTTCGTAGATTTAATTGATGGATCATCCACCTCTGAGCAGAATGATCACCGCACCAGTATTGATAACTAAAGGTTGTCAGAACAGTCACTGCTCAAGAACAGAATACTCATAACAAAAAGTTACAACCTCGATGTCTAGAGATAGGCTAGAATTAAATTCATCACTCACACGTCTTGTTCTGGTCTTTTTATTCACTATGCTCTATGTATTACAGTTTAGCTATACATGAATATCAAATTACAGTAAGATATCGCCTAATGTTTTTCGCTCTAGACAGTAATTCACAAATTTCAGCAATCTGAGTGACTGAGAAATTTCCGCTTACCGCCTACTGTACAGTATCAAAATTGTGCAGCAAAAAACCAAAGGTATAATATTAAGAGCGCAAAAAATGAACCAACCGACAAGGGTCATCTGTAGGACCAGTATTATCTGTAATAGGATTGGTCACAAATCAAATGAGATATCAGTTGTTGTCAAATCTGTATTTCATTGGCACGGTGGTGGGTATGTTGGGTAAGGAAACCTACTCAATCACACCGAAGATCATTCTGTATTCAGTACAGTTCATCGTGAGCAATCAAACTTTCGAGATAGCACTTAGATTGAGATCAATCAGTTGTCTGTTTCACTCAGTCATGAAAAGACCGAAAGGGTGCGTTATAAGCTTTGTGTGTTACTATGTTCCCGTTCTTAAAATATTCTTCAAGCGCTTGGCTCCGTAGATTCATCTTTATGACTTCATTGTAGTGAATCACTTGAGGCAGCAATAAGACGTATAGCAAGCTGACCGATTCCATAGCAACACACGGCTCCGTGTGTTCTACAGCTATAATGTTTCACTGTTATGATAAATAAAAGCAACTTTTCATATAGTACTATATTTACCGTCTGTTGGAATTGCAGAAGACGCGTTTGAAAATTAGGAAAATCTCGTGATTTCTAGATTGTAAGTACAACTTTTGTCCAGAAAACCAACACACCACTGTTTTCGTGACACCTGTTGCCTATTTGTAAACATTAGATAATTGACAGTGTTTCATGTGCAACATGAGATGTAGTTACCATTCTAAGGTGAATTCAATTGGTATAATTGTTTTGTAAGTTGAGAAATTCAAGAGGATGTTAACCTACCACACTGTACTTCAGACTGATACTCTTACTCAGAACCATTTACTGTCAGCAGCTGATTGTATTCAGGTTGACTTTAGTTCAAGTAATTTTCTAAGTAGAATTGCGAAATTGATGGGTGTTCATGGCTACCTTCACCTTTAAAGACATTGCTTCATTAATAGTCAGAACTTGTTTATGTGTAGTCGTGTGAGTGCCTGTGGAGGTATAAATGGCAAAATGTTTAGTCAGATGTAGAAATTCACGGCACCATGTACCAGTATGGTTTTTTTCTGGTGCTGTTGTTGTTATTCTGGCCGTAGAACGTCGAGATTGGACGACTCTGAAGGTTTAGAGATCCTACGTGTTGTACCACTGTAGTGAGTCTACCGAGTGATTTTGAGCCCCACTGCACAAGACAAACATTGTCTTTTAGCGACATGATCCTGAAACATCTCCCTCGTGTGTCACGAGTCTCGTTTCAGCGGTTCCAATCCCTTTCACTTTTTGGCCTTCCTAGAATTTGTTCGAAAAGACGCACGAATGATTAGTCCATGGTGTGTGATGGTGGGGCGATCGACAGGGATATCGGTTTAGTATAATTTGGATCGAAACTTTATTAAATTATGTTAAGAATCGAAATCAGTGGTAGTCGTGCTGTAGTCCATTTGTCTCGTCAAACGTCAAGGGAAACGTGAGGTGGTGAATGCATCCGTGCAGATGCTTTAAGAAAATATCTACGTTTCCGCTTTGTCTGTGACTGTTTCTCTTATTTCTTCACTTATTATTATCGTTGTTTTTTTTTAATCAGCACATTTTTTGTGTCTGGACTGTGTGAGCCTTGTTTCTTTGAATAATAATCAAAATAATTAGTCTATATTCGAGTGATAAGAAAAGAATGATAGGCAGCATGTTAAATCTGGTCGTACTAATGAGACAGGTTGCTTTTTGTAGGCTTCATTATTGAACTTGTGACCATTGTTCGCCTAGATGACTTGTCTCTGTGTTTAGACACTTGAAGTGCTCATCTCATCCACCACGTGTACATCGTCTCAGTGCCGATTGTGAATTCATTTGTCATTTCACTCCGGTCACATTTCGATTTCGGTAGACAACAATCATAATCTTCTTGTTATTTCAGTCTCATTGTGATAGGACTTGGTGGTCTAATGACTCTCAGTCGATTATTTCTGGAATAGCAGAGTGTAAAACATTTCCAGACTTTTTCTTATTAAAATAGCGAAAGGTAGTCTGGGAATCTGATACTTTGAGTTCCTGGATAATTGCATGTGATGTATGGATATCTTGGTGACAGATGTAGAATTTAGCTGAAATACTTTTCTGTGAAAATAGATTTGAATGTGTTAGATGTAGCACACTGACAGTTAGCTAACTTCCGGTTGTGTAATTGGGGATGTTAGATGGCGCAAGCTGAATTGGTGAAGACATCCGCTAAAGCACCTAAATTAGTCACCTCCTTGACTTACAACTTATTAGCAGCATGTTAGTTTTTCGTTGTTTTTGCCAATTTTTTTAGTTGTAGTAATATGTTTAATTGGTGGATGGTGACTAGCAGTGGAATCCAGGATGCGTATTTCACCCTATCTGGGACTCGTCACTCGATGTACCTGCATTTCTCAGTGAGTGATGGTGTTCCCACCGAGGCTCGAACCCAGTACCCATAGTTTCAAACGCCAAAGCGTTATCCACTAGACCACTTGGGCCACGAGAGCCACCTCTTGTGCAACGGGTCATATTAATTTAATTTAATTTGAGGTTTTCCCGTTGATTGATTGGAACGAAGTGCGTTTGAAACTATGGGTACTGGGTTCCAGCCTCGGTGGGAACATCACCACTCGCTGGGAAATGCAGGTACATCCAGATGACGAGTCCCAAATGGGACGAAATGCGCACCCTGGATTCCACTGCTAGTCACCATCCACCAATTAAATACTAACTAAATGCCCAGACATCGTCGAGGAATCTGCACAATGAGCCGACATGTCAACCTGAGACCGAGCACTTCGGTCCAATCAATCTAAGGGAAGATCTTAAATTCAATTAAATGTAATAATAAATGTTAAGCGAAATTCTCTATTACTATAAACATTTGGTATTTAATCCATATGATTTATTATTGATCTACTTTTTAGCTCATCATTATATGAGTGTAGTTTTCAAACACTCAGATTACTCCCCACTTGTGGAACCTCATACATTGTCTAACAAGTTAGTCTCAAATTTACGTGAAGTTCTCCAACGGGCTACACGACTAAAACGTAACACTGCACCAGAAGTGGTAGCTGCTGCATTACTCGGTTTAAAAATAGCAAATTTCCTTTGTGAATGTTCAGAATATGTACATGCATGCAAAGCAGCTAGAAGTATTCATGAAACTGTACGTACTTTTTTCAGTCAATCAAAATTTCGTCATACTCAACTACGTTTAGAGTATGAGGCTATGTGCATGTAAGTGAAAAAAAATGTTCATTTTTTGTTGTTTGTTTTAGTTCGTATTACAGATGAATAAAACTTGACGTTTTTTTCTATTGATAAATGTTTCAGGTTTGAAAATTTTTATTCTCTTTACATGAAATATATCATTTATCACTAGGCTATTACTCACACTGGAAAAACATATCATAAAACTCAAGTGTTGGTTTGTAGGGATTCGGTTGATTGTTTACAGGATTTCATCATGAGTTGACATTAGTTAGAAAACCATTGGAAAACCACCTGGGAGTACTGGACAGCTATTTCGACAGCCTAGTTTGGGACTCTTCATCAGCACACACCCGCCGAGATTCGAACCCAAGACCTTCTGGTATACGAGCTCACCTTGCAACCAGAAGGTCCTGAGTTAGAATCCCGGTGGGCGCGTGCTGATGAAGAGTCCCAAACTAGGACGAAACAGCTGTCCAGTACCCCCAAGTTTTCCAATGGTTCTCTAACTAATGTCAACTCATGATGAAATATCATAAAATCCTTGGTATATCTTAGATGGAAGAATTTCATTTTCAGGGAAAACAATGGAAATTTGAACATTGTAATAAACCAAACAGTCGATTTATTTCGTTGAATGATTTAACAGTGAATTTTGTAAAATTACAGTTGAAGTCACTACTGTGGTGATAGATTGATTGAAGATTCATGCGTTTAAGCTTTCAGGTGTATCATTGTGTTAATAAAAGGCATGATAATCGGTAATGAAAGGCTATATAATTATGACTACATATGAATTCAGTAATTTATTTTCTAGTGTTATCCCAATCTCTTTTGTTCTTCACTATTTTTCTAAGTGATGAAATTTCCCTAATTATGCTTGTTGCTTTCCCATGCATTGAGAATAATTTCATCCTGAACAATTACATCATAGAAAATGAAGAGAACTTATGCACTTTTATGAGGGTTTTCGATACTATCCAGTGCCGAACGCACTGACGTTGAGCTGAGTTTAAACCCAAAGCTCACTGTCTGCAAGTCAGATAGTCAATGTCTTCATAGGGACAGCAGTAAAAATTTATTGAAAATTGTTGTATTTATCCAGTGTCTCTGCCTTAATCAGCTTATTAGGCGTACACAGTGTTCATTTGTCTGTCTGTCTGTTTTCAACATAGAACTTTGCACAAATGTGCGGCAGTTCACATTCAAGTTGCCACACTCCATGTAGCACACAAACCAAGAAAAGAAAGTACAAGAAAAGCATAATTAATATAGACAATAAGCAGAGGTGTGAGACAAAGGAAGAGTAATAGCGTAGAACAAAACAGTTTCATTGGAAATCATAAGTCACAAGAAGTGGATGCATCTGCGCTCCATTGAGAACGATTTTGAGCCATATCACCAATTGTTTCCAACCATAGATTTTTACCGTCCCGAGGACCCCAACTAGGAAGTCTACACCTTCCTACGTGGCTTAGACCAACTGTTGTGGATTTCATTGACTGGTGCCAAGTTTTTCTTTGACCGCCGCTAGCTTTTTTCCAGCCGCTAACATTGCTCGTCGAGGAAGGCGATGACTTGGCATACGTAACACATGTCCTAACCATCTCAGTCTTTGTAACTTCACGACTTCGTCGATTGATTTCCCCTGTTTACCTAGAACTCGACGCCTAACCTCGATGTTGCTCACCTTATTATGCCACTTTACACGGGAAATAGGACGCAGGCACCTATGATCAAAGACAGCTAGTCTTTTCATGTCTTCCACTCTCAGTGGCCAGGTCTCACAACCATAAAGGAGGACGGAGCGGACTGATGAGCAGTACACCCGCCCTTTGGTCGATAGTCGAACATCTCGTCTACGCCAGAGTCGGCGTAAACTGGCAAATGCGAAACGAGCCCCCTGTATTCGTGCTGAGATTTCGTCAGAGATCAACCCGTTGACTGGCTGATGGTACTTCCCAAATAAGTGAAGCGGTCAACGTGCTCTACCACTTCACTTCCTATTTTTAAACTAGGCGTCGATGTAGTCCAGTCCTGTAACATCATCTTGCATTTGGCGGGAGCGAATCGCATGCCAAACATTCGTAGATTGCGGCTCAAGGTGTTTAGAAGACTCTGCATTTCGTCAGCGTCTTCGCCTAGAAGGACTATATCGTCTGCATATTCCAAGTCAACGAGATTATTCCCTGGTAGCAAGTCAATCCCTGAGTCGCTGAAGTCACCTAGGGTTAAGTCCATTAACACATCTATGATGAAGTTGAATAGAAAAGGAGATAATGGGCATCCTTGACGGACACCACTGGTCGTCATCAGTTCAGATGACAGCTCGCCGTAAGCCCTCACCTGGCTGTATGAGTACGAGTAGAGTGCCTTAATCAGTGCAATATATTTTCTTGGAATTCCCTTTACAGCCAAGCATCTCCAGAGAACTTCTCGATCGACAGAGTCGAATGCTGCCTTTAGGTCAAGAAATATAATGACTGTTGGACGCCGGTAGGAATGCCTATGTTCTAGAATCTGTCGGAGGGTGAAGATATGATCAATACACCCTCTTCCTGGTCTAAAGCCTGCCTGGCTCTCTCGTGTTTGTGCTTCCCGAGCACCACTCAGTCTACGCATGATTATTGAGCCTAAGACTTTAGATACTATATTAGTCAAGCTAATCCCTCTGTGATTATCACAGGAAGACTTGTCTCCCTTCTTGTATATGGGGATAATCAGTGACTTACACCAACCCGATGGGACTTCTTCTGATTCCCAGACGCTGCCTAGTACCTCAGTTAATGCAGACAGTAAGCTGTCTCCACCGTACTTAAATACCTCTGGAGTCATTCCATCAGGTCCCGCTGCTTTGCCTAGTTTCAGATTGGTGACAGCTTTAGTAACCTCAGTTAGGGACGGAGGACCTGTGTCTATATCCCATTCAGGGAGGTGTTGGATGCTCGGAAGGTTGAGCGTGGCTGTGGGCCAATTAAACTGCTCCTCATAATGCTCTTTCCAACGATCCAGTCGTCTATCCTGGGAGCTAATTATAGTGCCATTTTTTTCCGAGATTGTCTCACTAATGATTTGTCTTCTCCCACCCGTTTCCCTGATGAGTCTAAAGAGTTGCCTGGTGTTGCCTATCCTCGAAGCTTTCTCCATCTCTTTGGCTTTTGTCGCCCACCACTGTTCACGGTCCTTGCGGAGACTTTTCGTAAGTTTCCTCTTGTGCAGCTTTCGCTCCTCATTGAATTCGGAGCTCGCCGGAATAAGTCTTCTAGCATCTATCAGTTCGGATGAGGCGGTGGAGATCCAGTGGTTTTTACTCACCTTTGGGTTTACCTTATTCACAGCTTTTACAGCTGTATCTATGGCTGCCTGGATATTTTTCCAAGCTTCTTCAGGGTGAGCACAGCTGTCGAACACAGATATGTGTTTAGCTAGTTCTTCCTCAAATACGGATTTAGTTTCCTGATCGAGCTGGGGACGTGATGGTTTTACCGCCAGCTGTTTCCTACGTCCGTTCAGTCGTAAGCACACCCGAGCGCGGACCAGTGCATGGTCGGTATCTACGCACGTGTTCCAGAAGGAGCGACAATCTCCTACCGACCCACGCCAACGATAGCTTATTGCTATGTGGTCTATTTGTGTCCAGCGTTGGTTTGATGAAGGGGGTCTCCAAGTCAAACAGTGTCTCTCCTTGTGTTTAAAGTTAGTGCTTACAAGAAACAAATGATTATCAGAGCAGAACTGTAGGAGACGGTCACCGTTGTCGGTTCGCTGGCACGGGACTCCATAGGTGCCACCGACATCCTTCTCAGATTGACACAATTTCCCTACTTGAGCGTTAAAGTCACCAGCTAGAACGACTATGTCTGAGCGTTTAGCCTTTCGCACCAAACTAGACAGCTTTTGGTAGAACTCATCCTTCGTTTCATCTGAACTGCAGTCAGTGGGGGCGTAGGCGGAGATTACGAAAAGGCATCGGCGAGTAGTGCAGTCCTTCCTCCTTCTTACTGATCCGTTCAGGCGGACAGCACACATTCGGCTATCTACCGGGATCCAGTCAAGCAATGTCTTTTCTGCCCTAGTACTCAAAGCTATCCCTACGCCAGCTAATCCTCGTGAACTAGCTGTGGCATCTCCTGACACCCTCAAGGTGAATTTTGCAGATTCAACCTGTTGGCCAGGTGGGGTTAGGTGAATAACCACACTTGGGTCTTGTATGCGTGTTTCTGAAACACAGCATACATCAATGGCTCGTGATGCCAGGGTCTTGGCTAGTGATGCTTGTTGTCCTATTTGGCAAAGTGTCCTAACATTAAGAGCTCCTATATGAAATTGGTGGCGCGGCTTTAAGAGGCTGTCGGTGGTGGTTTTTTGGCTTCCATCGTTTTTAGTGGACGCAGAGTGGAGAGGAAGTGGAGAGCTATCAAGTCGAGGAGTTGCATCAGTGGAAGGAAGGCAAGATGATAGAGATGAAGATGAAGACAAAGATGAGTGAGTAATAGAGAGGTTTCGTGTGCATTTCGGATTGTGAGGGCGATTGTTACTTCCCGGCTGCCCACACCGTGGAAGTTGGTTGCGTGACCGCAGAGCCCAGGGGACAACTGCTTGAGGCCGGTCACACGCGGCCTGTTTTTGTTTGTTCTTTGTTGTTTGGTGTGTCTCAGTAGCATATTTATCACTCCTGCCCTGTGACACGGCAGCAGGAAGCGCGGTCGTTGTTAATCCGGGCCACGGCCGATCCGGCATGAAATTTTGTGAATTTGTATTGAACATGGTATTGGATTGGGTAGCTGCTTTTTGTTTAACCGCTATCCAAACAACCTGCCTGGCATGGTAGAACCTCAAGAGACATAAGTCTCAGCCAGTATAGCTTGATTAGGTCATTGCGGTGTTCAAGCCCGATCACCACGTCAAGGTAGCAGCTTTCGGTCGGGAGTGTTCATCTACATAACCATATGTCTCATATATCCTTATTTTCTGTTCCTTAGTACATAGAATTCTGATTCATTTGTAAGCATCAAAACTCTGTATGCATTATTAAACTGAATTCGTATTGATAATGCTTTTCGTACAACTGAATATTGCTGGCTAATTACAGACTTTATCCACAGTATATCACATTCTGTATGGTGACCTCCTGTCAACCTACTCAACGAAATGTAGGCGTGGAAAAAAAGCCAAGGCCAGTTGTTTCAATTTTTTAAAATATAGACGAGTAGACATTTGGTTCAGAGAAATGACTGAACTTCATAGGAGAATTTAAAGAAGTTTTTATACTTCCTAGCAGTTTACTGCGTTTAACCTATTCCTGGAAACGTCCTACTATGCTTGTGGTTTAATTGGTAGGCTTTTGAATCTGCCTCCACTTATTTGTAACTACTATTGCTACTGTAACAACAGAAGACAAGGTCCAGTCAACAGATCGTTTATAAAGGAAATCAACACATATTTGTAGATTTTCATGTACATATTATAGATTATTGTTAGCAGAAAAACAGTCTTCTGATTGGTTGTTTCTCACAGAAAGTTAACCTTGCATCTCTTTGTGGCTGTTTCATGAATGTCAGATCATCTGTATATTACCTGTATCCGCCTACGCAAAGCCTTTGTTCTCATTTTTCTCGCGACCAATATTGGGAACATAAACATTGATGCAAATTACTGTCTACCAATTTTGACTAACAGCCAGCTCTCTCCACACTACTACCACCGACCTATTAAATCAATCGAGCGAAATGCCAAAGAAACTCAGTTTTAAGGGAGAAATTGGTTTCTGTTCAGTACATGAATGCGATAACCACTTTTTGTAGTACCCGTTCGTACTGCTATTTACACTTAGTTATATTGGGCTTTTTTCCACTTACTGAGGTTTGTTTGATTACGTTAACTCTTGTAGAAAGTATGCATTTTATGATTTCCAGTCAATGCAGATCATACTTCAGAAATGCACACTGTTAAGTATCAGAATTATCAATACAAACGTTAAGTGTTCAATGCTACTAGTTTCATTCACATGCTCCCTAATATGTTGATAAAATACATTCCCAAATGTATTTCATTTTAGCACATGGCACTTCGGCCTTCAAATACAATGGGTCATTTTTTGCTATATAACCTTTGTTTATTTGTTTAAAGACTCTAAACTGCTTAGGGAAGTGGTTAGTCAGTCGTTAAATAAATTGCATGGAGGATTTCATCATGAGCTGACATCAGTTAGAGAACCACTGGAAAACCTGCGAGTACTGAACGGCTGTTTCATCCTAGTTTGAGACTCTACAGCAGCACTCACTCGCCGGCGTTCAAACCCAGGACCTTCTGGTTAAAAGGCCAGCGAGCTCGTAGACCAGTGAGCCACTGGGACCCGATCCAATGGTCCTTGAATTCTAACTTCTGCCAATTCACAACATAGCGCGACCATTTCTCAATATCTTCTTCAATGAGTTACTGCTTCATCTTCAACCTGCTGTAGATAAATTCACAAAAACACTTAGAAAATTAAGTTTTTACTTCCTCCAAAGCATTTAAGGTGTATTCCTCATTCATTTTTATGTATTTTTGAACAGTTAGTAAGCATATAACATTTTCCTTTTGTTTTAACTATAGTTTCACTTAATAAAGTTTCGTTTTAATTTTAGTATGCTTCGAGCAATGAATGCATATAATATGTACTTTGAACCGGAAGATCAACACATTTTTCAAAAAGAAGCGCCCAATCTAATGAAATCAATGTGGCAGGCAAATTTATTAGTGACTAAATCTAGTGATATAAGTAGTTTCAACTATGCATTATTGCCTGTCAGTTTTGAAACACCACCTCAAGATATGTGTACTACTCCTGTATTATCATCTCGATCATCTGATGAAATCTCTGAAGGCACTTCATCTACTTCGTTAAGCATTGTTGGTCCAGCTGGTGATGAATCTCCTTGTGTGTTGGAAACGCTTAATACTCAGTCTACGAGTTTGATATCAGAAGTATGTTGGTTTTATTTTTCTAGGATATTTCTCCTACTTAACTGCAGAATTTATTTTTTCACTTTAGATTACTACATCAATTCTACCAAGGTTATGCATTTGCACACTAGTGCATTTCGATTTTGTTGTACAAGAACCAAGTACACTCTTGTTTTTCTGACATCTTTTCACCGTTGAAATAAAGTCAATTTACAATTGCGAGTGAGAGAGAGAGAGAAAGATGAGAAGATGGGTGAAACAAAAGTATCTAGTTTTCACACCAAGGATTCCTGTGGTATTCTGAATTAAGAAGTTAAATGGTTGGGTGTTTGTTGACTTGTATGATATAAGTTCAGAGTGGAGTTGTTCGTCCATTACAGGATTTTGTTCGATATAATACAGTATGATACAGTATCATTTATCTACTGATGACGTTTTAATCGCGATGTATTATTCATAATCATATCAACTTATTCACATGACTTTTACGCCTTGTTTACATAGAGTACTTACTATCATGTCTTATCCGTTGATTTTATTGGTAATAATATTTTTCATATCTCCAGTATGTATTGGCGGTACATCATTTCTGATGCACGTATGCAGAATCACTACTGAATATTTATCAAAAATTAATTATTACCAATAAAATCAAACGAACCCCCGATGAAATCAGAAGTCCTGAAGGCAATCAAGATGCTAAAAGCTGGAAAAGCCGCAGGACCAGATGGAATCCCAGCCTAAGCATTGAAAATGGACCCAGAGACAACAGTGGACTTGATGACGTCATTACTGGAGAAGGTGTGGAAAGAGGGCAAAGTACCCGAGGATTGGAAGAAAGGATACTTATTCAAACTACCAAAGAAAGGAGACTTAAATCAATGCAAAAACTGGCGCGGAATTATGCTCCTGTCCATCCCAAGCAAAATACTAAGCCGCATCATACTGGAGAAAATCAAACAAGCCAACCTGGATGAAAAACTTCGACCGGAACAAGCTGGATTCAGGAGAAACAAGTCATGTATTAATCAAATCGCCACACTACGGATCATCACTGAACAAAGATTGGAATGGCAGTCACCTCTCCAACTCATTTGACTTCATCGACTTTGAAAAGGCCTTTGATAGTGCAGCGTCGATCGAGAGGTGATTTGGCAACTACTTCGCTACTACGGGGCGCCATCGACAATTATACATCTCAACCAATAGTTATACGACAATGCTGCATCACAAGTAATCCACAACGGGAAACTCACGGAAGCCTTCGAAGTGAGGACGGGAGTGAAACAAGGCTGCCTACTATCACCAATGATCTTCCTGATTGCAGTAAATTGGATAATACGACAGAAAACGGCAACCAACGAGGGGACGGGCATAAAATGGACTCACACAAAAAGAGACTTGGAGGATCTGGACTTCGCCGATGATATATGTCTGATTTCCCACAAACTGGAAGATATGCAAGTGAAAAGCAACAAGTTGACAGTGGAAGAAGCATCAAAGATAGGACCTCAAGTGAACATAGATAAAACAGAGGTGATGAAGATTCCTGGCCAACACCAACAGCAGCAACAACAGACAACAATCAGCCAGCATAAGTGGGGGAACCTGAAAGAATCAACCTTTACCTACCCACCTACCTGGGAAGCATCGTTTCAACTACGGTCGGACGGCATTGATAAGGATATCAAAGCCAGAATCGGAAAAGCAAGACAAGCTTTCACTACTCTTAAGTCTGTGTGGAGGTCAACATCACTCAGTATCAAAATGAAAATAAGATCCGGATTTTCAACTCCAATGTGAAGTCAGTCAGTGCCACTTACTATACGGATCAGAGACTTGGCCAGCGCGTCATAAAGAGCATCTCAAACAAACTTCAGACCTTCATTAACAGTTGTCTTCGCTCAATACTCAAGATCAGATGGCCAGCCAGAGAAGATCAGCGACAGGGATCTTTGGGAGCAAACTAACCAGGGACCGATTGTGTAACAAATAGACAGGAAGAAATGGAGATGGATTGGCCATCCTCTGAGAAAACAAACCATCAAGTGACATCACTAGACAAGCCATCGCTGTAGTGGAACCCGAAAGGGAAGCGGCGAGTTGGTTGTCAGTGTGAGGGTGACTTGGAGGAGGTCATGTGAAGAGGAGATGAAAGAGTATGGGCAGACTTGGAGAGGGGTGAAAAAGTTGGCAGAAAACAGAAGGCAATGGAGATGCACAGCTGAAGTCCTATGTTCCTCTAGGAATGAAAGGATATAATAATAATAATAATAAAATCAAAAGATAGGAAAATGTGGTACTATGTTAACCAAATCGGGAAGCTACGTGGGCTGTACGCTTGCATGATTGTGTGAGCAATGAATTGTGCTCAAAGCGTCATCATCAACAAAAAGAAAAAATTATACTTTATCACTGTGTTATCTGAAGCAAATTATCCTATTATGGAATTATGCTCTTTTACACTATTGAAATGTTATTCTTATATCAGTGAAGTTATATTTGATTAATTTAAACATTATATTTTAAAATATTTATTTAGCTTGCAGCGTTATATGCAAACATGTATGTACTCAGTTGCATTAAATACATCTGGTGTCCATCCTATTGGATTTAATTGTGTAAATAGTTGTAGGTGGTGGTAATGGTAATGTAATCCTGGTAAAAAAGTGTACGAGGTACATTCAGTGCATGACAGCATTTGGCGGAAAAAAAGTGAAGCAGGACTTGATTTGGTTATACTGCTTAAAAATTTAGTGTCTCAACTAATGCGCCGAATATATCGTGTCTCTCTCTCTCTCTATCCTAATTGACTGCTAACACTACAAGAAATGTTGCTAGGCTATACATTTACAGATTTACAGATCTGTGACAGAATAAGTAGGGAAATAAGATGATGGTGATGTGGGTAAAGCAGAATGACGCTCAAGAAGGCTTCGTGTGCCCTTGGAAGTGTTTGGGTGGTTATTACTTCCCGGGTGCTCACACCGTGGAAATTGATTGACTCTTCAGGTACCTGAAACAGAAAGAGGGTTAGTGTTACGTGATGGCAGAGCCCAGAGGACAACTGGTTGAGACCGGTCACAAACGGCCTGTATGAACTGGTTTCTGGGATTGGTTCCGTATTAGTAAGCTTACCGTCGGTTACGGACCACCGTAGGGTAAGTCGGGATGTGCAATTTTTGGGGTCGACCTTTCCTAACCCCCTCTCTTTGAAGTGGAGACAGCATAGGTGGCTGGCATGCTGGTCCCTATTTCCCAGCAGTACGACTTCGCCCTCAGACCCCCAGAATAGTGCAAAAGAAAATTCTTACACTATTCCGGTAACTGCTTTTAGTCTAATCACTATCCTAACAACCTTCGTGGCATGATAGGACCTGCAGGAACATTGGTTCCAGCCAGCGTAGTTTTTTGGGTCATTGAGATGTGCAAGCCCGACCACGTCAAGGTAGCAGCTATCGGTCAGGTCTGTGACAGAATCATCCTATAAGTATAAAAGATCCATTTATCGTCTGCTAATTCGCCTTATCTTTACAGCTTTCCACTGTAAGACTAATTTAAAACAAATGTGTTGTGCTGTATTCCTTCCTTCTCTCTGCGAGTGCATCATATAAATCCAGTGCAGAGAAAAATAATCTAACAAGTTCCTAGTTGTACTACTATTAATTTTTTTTTTTATTTCATTAGGATTTCTATTAAATCCCACTTATACTATCATTAAAGTGTGTGAGATAATAGGCACAAAATCTTTTTGTTTGACCAGACTTTAATGTAAATCACTTGTATCTTTCTCCACTTTTTACATATGTTTCAAAGTACCTATTGTACATGCTTTTTTCAAGTTTTGAGCCTGCTCAATTTTCCTTTATTTCCCTCCCTCCCCCCACTCTACTTAGTGTTACTTCCCAACTGTCTATTCCACATCTGAAGTTGTTCTCAATCTATTAGATGGTAATCCTGAAACATGCGTATCGACTAGTGCATATCTGAATGTACAACTTGCAACTTATCATTATTCTATGTGCCATTATCAAGTTGCTTACCATTTCACTCTATTGGCTATTGAACAATTGGAGATCTGCTTCAATCAAGGTTTACCACCATCACCTTATGTAACTATTGAAGTTCTACGTATCATGTGCAGAGTATGCATTATCAAAAGAAAATATGATTTGGGATTAAAAATTATTCAACATGCATTAACGTATACCAGGTAGGATTTATTTCACAAAAAAATTGTGTAAAATTCATTATGTAATTTTATGTCATTATGCCATCTACTGGATTTTTATTTCTTTATTTTGGAATATATGGATGCTCAATTCTTCTATGGAAATATATTTATCAAAAGTAATTTGCTAGCTATTGTGAAAGCTAGTCATCATTCCTGTTATGTTGTGCTACACAGTCAAACTGACACTGACCGAGTTTCAACACAGAAGTGCGGAACAGACTAAAGAGAGGAAAGAAGACATTCAAGGTATTATAATGAGCAGATATGTGAGGGATAAAGAATAGTGTTAATTATGAGTGAGTGTCTAACAAACCGAGCAGTGGCACTAAGTAACACAAAAAAGACCTAAATGACGAAATAAAACAGATAGAAGAAGCGTTGGTAGCAAATAACTATCCTATAAAATTCATTAGGAAGATAAGAAAACATCAAATAAAAATAATGGTTAAACTAATAATGATAACATAAATAAGAGAGAATATAAGTCATCTACAGTAGTTTTACCACATAAGGAGGGGACATCTGAGACCCCACATGTAGGATTCTCAACAAAGAAGGAATTAGAAGTGTGGCATTGAAACCTACAAACTCACTTAGGTATGGCAGGCTGTGTAGGCTAAACGACCCGGTGGACCCAATTAAGCAAAATAATATAATTTACAAAATACCTTGGAATGACTGTGAGTTAGGTTAACTACATAGGTCAAACTAATAGATCAGGAGTAGTGAGATTATCAGAACATAAGAATTTAGTGACTGAGGTTAGAATGATTGATCACACGAAGATAAGTAATTTAGAAAGGAACTCAGCAATAGCCCTGAATATGTTAACATACAACCACAAAATCGTATGGGAGACGATTAAAATTCTAAGAAGTAATATAGATAGGTGGAGAGAGAGGTTGATTACTGAATTCTTGTTCATTGAGTCTACACCCAACACTTGCAATAGGAACGATTCATCACTCAGACCGGAAATATGGAAAATACTACTACCAATCAAGTCAAGCGATGGAAAATAATGGAATTATATAAACGAAGTTAGAAAGTTGTGTGAGTAGTGCCTTGACATGATTATGAGCAGTAATAAATTGTGCTCGAAACGTTGTCATCAGTAAATATTACTGTATAACACTGTGAGAAAACATGAAGACTTAACAAATCTTGGAGGTCACAAAGAGTGAATGCATCTGCACAGTCGTCATCCATTGGGTCTTAACATCCCAAAGACCCCCAGCCAGGCAGTCTACATCTCCCTACATGGCTGGTTCACACCAACTGTCAAAAACTGCATGCGCTGATGTCAGATTTTGATTTGACTAATGTTATCTGTTTTCCAACCCTAATCATATTTCGGCTAACATTGCTTGTCGACGTAATCGGTGGCTGGGAATGTGTAACACATGCCTTAGCTGTCTCGATTAATGCAGCTTCACAACCTCATCGATTGACTTGCCCTCTTTACCTAACACTACGCCTATTCTCAATATTACTCATCATGTTAAACCACTTGACATAAGAGGTAGTAGTCACATATCTGTGGTTAAAGACAACTAGCCTTCTCATATCTTCAGCTTTCAATGGTAATGTCTCACAGTTATAACAGGGAAGATAAAAGCACTAAACAGTGATTTATATTGCTGTCAAAATGATGACCTAATTTCTTGTATACAGCAAGCTTTTTATGCAATGGGTTGCATCACACGTTCAATCTTACTTGTTATGTGTGTGTGTGTGTGTGTGTGTGTTAGTACTGCATTATTAGATTATAAAAGTGGCATTCACTTTCAATATCATTCGATTGATAGTATTATTATATAACTGATTGACTGACTCAAATATTCGTCATTCAAACTTTAGAAGTGTTTGATAATAAATAAATACAAATCTTCAAGTTTTGGTTTGTAGGGATTCAGTTGATTAGTTACAGGATTTCACCATGAGCTGACATCGGTTAGAGAACCATTGGAAAACCTGGGAGTACTGGACAGCTGTTTCGTTCTAGTTTGGGACTCTTCATCAGTATGCACCCACCGGGGTTCTAGTGGGAAGTCGTGACCAGTAGGGTTCAGAAGGTTGGGTGTAAGGGCAAATACTCGCCGAGGACATTGGCTAGCTGTTGCGCTATATCGTGAATCGGCAGAAGTTAGAATTCGTGAGCCATTGGATCGGGTCCCAGTGGCTTAATGGTCTACGAGTTCGCTTGCCTTGTAGCCAGAAGGTCCTGGGTTCGAACCCCTATGGTGGGTGCGTACTCCTGAAGAGTTCCAAACGAGGACGAAACAGCTGTGCAGTACTCCCAGGTTTTCCAATGGTTCTCTAACTAATGTCAGCTCATGATGAAATCCTGTAACCAAATACAAATCTGTTAGATATCTTTAGAAAGTAAAATATTGATCGTAAGCTATGATGGACTTAGTTGAGTAATATATATACAATATCTTCGTGATTAACTTCATCATCTAGTTTCTTCAAAAGTTAGCTATCATTTCTTGGTAAAAGTTTGCTTTATTGCATCAAATAAGGTGACTGACAACAATTTCACTATTGAAATTTCTGAATTCTTTATTTATATGAGTTTCATCCACTTCTCAAAGGTAATTCTAAATTTTAAATGTATAAAGTGTACTGACAGAATTTCTGCTTTTTGTCTAACAACTGAAACGTGAAAAACTATAACCTTTTTAATTCCCTGCACGTTCCCAGTGGAACATAGAGCTTCAAGCTAGAGGCTTCAAGTTCCTGTGGCAGTGGTATTTATTTTTTACAGGATGGGGTTGCCAGCCTCGTGCCCAACCTTTCCTCTTTACCAGTCTTACTATTGGCTTAGTGAGGTAAAGGAGTGCGTCTATGGCCGGGGATCGAACCCCGAACTACGTGTGGCGGCGTGGTTGGCGAGCATTCTACCTCTGTGCCACCGATGCACGACTATGATGAGTAAGTGAATTTCCATCCGGGTGAACATTTGTCATCGAAGTAGATTGTTTATCCTGAAATTAAGTTTTCAACTAAGGTATTTATCTGAACGCTTATTTCCTTTCGGTTATGACTCTTTCTTGTTTTCTAATGTACTTGTTGAAAAATTTAATTCTGAAGTGACCACATTTTTCATATATCGGTTGTTTACGACGGTGAATTTGAAAATTGAAAGTGTGCTTTAGAGGTGTGGCATGCGATAGTATGCTCTTAATCAAAAAATCACATTTATGTGAAACAAGGTTACAATTTCTTTTAACACGATTTTTGGTCAGTAAAAGGAGTGCCTTTGTATTTTGCCATTTGGTTTTCTGACTGAAAATTGTTAGCCAATAAGTAGTCTGAAAATGGATATTTTGAATACAAAAACTATATTGCCAACTGGTAAAAAAATGTGCGTCGGTGGTACAGCAGCAGTCAGGATGCCCGCCGACCATGCATATGGTCTGGGGTTCGATCCCCGGCCACCGACGCACTCCTTTACCTCACTAAGCCAGTAATAAAACTGGTAAAGAGGAAAAGTTGGGCATGAGGTTAGCAACTCCATTCTGTAAAAATAAACACTGCTATAGAAACTCCAATCCTCTAGCTTGAAGCTCTATGTTCCACTGGGAAAGTGAACGAAAAAAATACTGGTAAAAACAGGTTTTAACGCGTACCTTAGCATGTGGGACAGTAACAGTAGAAGACCAAAGACTTAGTGAAGGAATGTTTGTTTGCAATTTGGTATCACTATATAGCCACATTATATACACCTTATCTTCAACGCACCTTTTCTACAGGTCTTTCGTGTTGTGGTACTTCTCGCCTTCCTCCATATTGTGTTTCTTCGTGTTCCTTTCACTTCTCCTATGTGTCTCCGTGATGTTGTATCATCAATTGTTTCCTCTGACGTCAAATCTGTCTCTTTGATATTTGATTTTTTTATGCCGACGATCGTCTTTTTATATACTACTGTTAAATCTTACCAGTAGCACTCACCACGGAGCTACCCTTGGTGTATATGATGTTTTTCTTTCTTTCTATGTGAATTTGTGACGTATTTGATCATTGTAGTGTCTGTAGTATCTCATACACCTGTAGAGATTAGGTGTAAGGTTCTTGGTAGGAGAAATCAGTTTTTTAAATATTCATCAACACTGGTGGTTTGAGCGTGACATTATACTTTAGCTGAGGCTATAAAAGGCTAAGGACCTCTAGACATTCGACATTAGTCCAATCAAAGAACAGTGTTTTAGCCATATTCTGAATAAAAAGATTCATCTTTTAAAGCAATTGTGTGTGTAAGAATTTCCTATTAGATTTTAACTTTTAAAACAAGACATGCAGGTAAAACAACAATATTGTTTTCAATGAGATATATGTGTAAAACTTGGGCACTGTGGTATTAAGTAATTCCATATTAGTTTGATTATTAAATGTATCACACAGTGAAACAGTATTGTATACTGGATGACGTTTCGAACACAATTTATTGTTCATAATCATATCAATTTTTGTCACACGACTTCGAGATTTGATTTTTATAGTTTTCTCTGTCTTCTCCTATTTGTTGTATGGGCAGTAGAATTTTCCATATATCTGGGACAGGTGTTGAATCATTCCTATTACATGTATTTGCAGTTGATTCGATAAACAAAGCTTCTGTTATCAATCTCTCCCTATACCCTGTGACATTAGATTTTAAAACTGTCATCCTATCCCATCCTATTGTATGGTTGTGTGTAACTGCATGTAGTGCTATAGCTGAACTACTCTCTAGATTTCTTATCTTATTCGGGTCAACCAATCTAGATTTAGCTAGGTTTTTATGTTCGGCTAGTCTGACTGCCCCTGTTCTACTAGTTTGACCTATGTATTTGACCTGACAATCATTGCAGGGTATTAGATAAACTAAATTGTTTTGTTTTAATGGCTCTACAGGATCCTTTAACCGACAAAGCTTGTTTCTAATTGAGTTTGTGGGTTTGAATGCCACTTTTATTCCTGCCTTGTTAAGAATT